ACCGAAGTTCTTCACTGTTTATCTTAATTAGAATGGTTAGTTTATTTGAAAAATTTCAATTAGTCAAAATTTTGGAAAAGTTTTCGGAAATCTCAAGTTTTCGGCTATTTTCTTATCTCGTTGAGAAAAATCAAAACTGGTTTTCTCAAATTCCACAAATTTTCTGCTGAATAATCTCTACTAGTACTAAAATGATACTCGCAAATCTAAAAAATAGGCATGAATGATTGTGGTTATATTCCAGCTGAAACTTAATCAAAACTGTTCATAATTTTTAGTAAGATTAGCGCCTTTAACGATTAGATTTTGTACAATAGTAAGGTTAGCGCCTTTAAGGATCATTGAAGATGTTGCTTCAAGGATTCAATGTTGGCAAATGAAAATCTAAATTCATTGCTAGTAAGATTCTAAACATAAAAGTTTGTGTTGGCTTTGCCGTACGACCAAGAAACTTGATTGTATGTTTCTCCGTAGTCGTGTGTCGTCTCTTGTCCGAGATGTTCTTCCAATACCGGGTAGTTCTCGTATTTTTCGGAATAGCGGCTCTAATCTATTGAGTCGTAGAAACAATTCAATTAGATTATTGTCGTGTAACATGTTTGAAAATGTGTTGTCTAATTCTAGTCTATTTTGATATTTCTAAGCTAATTTGTTTTGTAAGGCCTGGTTCGAGACTTTTGGTCGCACCAGATGAGTTAGATTCTTTGGGTTAAATCATAGAGTAATTTCAGATAGGGTACACCGTCTTCTCGTCACGCTATCTTATTTTCGGCCGGATAGATTCGTGCAACTTCTTAGTCTAATACCGATCTTAATCTTTTTATATTATATTAGCTAGTCTCTTTTAGTCTCAATAATTCTAGAATATACTGGTCGTTTGCGATTAAGTCTCCTGGGGAGGCAACAATGTTCTAAGTTATTATCAAATCTCTCTGGTGCTGAAATTACAAGTAATTTCAGCACTTACAAAAAAGTGGGTTGTTAGTTAAATGGATCATGATTGGTTAGTAATAAATATTTTATAGTGATAAAATATCCAATAATGAAATATGGTTTTAGATCTGGTTCCATTTTGGACCATTTCTCCATTGATTTTTATTTATTATCTTAACAACATTGTATGTGCAATTTTTTAATGGACAACTCTTAGACCATTTTCAATTTAGTTGAAACTACAGAAACTGCAACCAGGAAATACTGAACAAAGAAATATTGAGAAATCTGAGATTCACCGTTTATATGAGAAAACTTGTAGCAAACAAGGCTTTTTTATAGCCACAACAAGGTGTTAAAAAATATATATTGGATTTACTTTTTGCTCAGTTTTTCCTCACTGATTCACGAGAAAAAAAAAACAATTAAAAACAAAAGAAAAGCCATTTTTTATTCAATAGTGCTCCGTTTGATAAATTTTGTACATCGGAGATTTTCAATTTCCTCCTTTTCTTGAAACATCATTAAGAAACAAACAGTTTTGTTACGTGGAAAGGAGACTGCGAGAAATTGAAGTCTTTCAATTTGAGTTTATATGAAATCGAAAGCTAGCTAAATTTGTATTTATTTCTCATGTATCGCACATAAAGCCTTACAGTGGGCCCCGGAATGTTTAAAATGGATAAAACTGATGATCCACAGAAATTTATTGAGTCCAGATTAACTGTAATTCAATTTTCTACAGTGGGTGGAACTTTCATTAAAACCAACGCGTAATCGATTAGAACTGAATGTGTTTATCTATAACTTTATGATGTACCCAGGGTTGACCATTACACAAAAATGTATGCATTTAAATCTATCAGACAGTGGTTATATTGCATGCGGTTTGGTCCGAAAAAATTCCGAAAAAAAAGGATTTTTTTTTCAATAAACCTGAAAAATATTTTTAAACAAATGTTTTTATGCGTAATTAGCGATTCGAAATAGTTTCGACCATAATGAAGATTTCATATTTCACGAATCATCTCATATGGCTTTGGACGTGTTGTACGTGGCGTTCAGGTATAGATGAACACTTTATCTTTAAATCAGCAAATAACTAACTCAAAAAGGCTGGCCCGTTTTTTGATAATTTCATTTTGGCTTCAGAGTTGTCGTTATTCTACTCTGCGACAACAGAGAACGTTGAAAAATGTCATAACAATTTTCTAAAAAAATAAGAAAAAGAGTCTGATTTTTTGCTCAACAGTTTTACCACTCCACTATCAGTTCTTGTTAGAAACTCACCGTTTGGTACAAGAAATGAGACGAGAAAATTTATATCATCATCTATCCCTCCATTTTTTTTTGCCTATGGCAATCAGCTTAATAAATGAAGAATTTCAGCGCAGACCGCTTGTCTATATCGTCGCTACTGTGAGAGAATTGCGTTTTTTCTTCTTTCTTTATCTGATGACATGATTAAAAAAGATTTTTTGGGTTCACTACGGGCTTTGAACCTGGTTTCCCAAGACAGGAGACAAATTCAGAGACACTCGACCATCAGCGTTAAATTTGAAAGAAAAAATGATTTCTCAATTTATTGAAAGTTTTTTTTCTAGGAAAAGTTCCTATCTTACAACTTCCTTGTAAGAATAAACAACATTACACTTTTCTAAACGAAACAGTTCTTATCGTGTTACATTCTCAGAGCCTAAAACTACAAAAAGTTGTAAAATTCTTATAAAAAAAGTTCCAGGATAGCGACTTTTGGTCAAACCGGGATATCTTCAAATTGTAATTTTAACAAAACACAAAAAAAAATCTTTTTTTCTGTGTCAAATACAGATTATAAACAGTCTATCTACAAATCATCTAAATATCTGCGCAGTATAAACACATATTAAAATTTTTTTAAAGATTTTATTTATTCTCTACGTATTATCTACATCCGGGGCAACATCCATTTAAGAAAAAAGCCTGACATACAGTTTCATAGAATAAAACTGTCAGCATTTTGTGAGAAACTAGCTTCGTCTCTCAACCATCGAAAAAATCAACGCAACATTTTTCGAGCCATTTACTAAAATTCAAGTTTTGTTGTTTAACTCTGTTAGAAAGCTAAAATTAACTTACTTGACTAGTATCAACTGCCATTTACATTCAGAGTTTTTTTAAATAGAATAATTTTAGTTAGTTCGTTTTTGAACAAAACAAAAAAATTTGAGAAAACTTTGAAAATTTTCAAGTTTGAATTATATAAAAATGCTTATTATACACTTTCATAGTATGGAAAAACGCTTATGTTATTTTCATTCAAGTTTTGTGATAAAACATGGAAAAATAATCGTTTTTTGATTCGAGATTTTGAAAACAAAAACCTTCGCAAAAAACGTCATCGCAAAAAAATGCTTAATTTGCTCTTTTAGTTCACAGCATAGAAAATTATGCTTTTTTTCACAGCATGGTTCACAGCATAGCAAATTACTGATGCTGCTCTTTCATCGGTCCTTGAAATTATATGAAACGATACAATAAGCAGTTTTTTATAGTTTGAAATTGCATTATAAGCGTTTTCTGTAAAGACGGGAGATTATATTCATCATTATAAGGCTTATATACAGATTATACAAAGAATATGCTAAAGTTTTTTGCTTGTAATTTCTTTTTTTTTGGCAAAAAAGTCCCAGTTTTGATTGAAAAAGATTCAATTCTATATAATTTGAGTCGATCAGCGTTCCCTAAATGGCTGTACACAAATCGATTTGCTAGCGGTAAAAGTTTTTATTAAGAACAGTTTTCAAAAATTGTTCCTATCGCGGGGTTTGATCCCTGGATCTTTATGGGTCCCAGCGAGTTCGCTCACCTATATATTAGTCTCACATGAGTGGGGCTAAAAAAACTACTTTTTCTATGCTGTGATGCTGAAAACTGCGCTTGCTATCATTTACGCGTGGAGAGTTATCCCGCACAACCAGTTGTTCTAAAACGAATTGAGGCTAGCTAATTCATCTGATAAATTCCACGCACGAATAAAATTTAAAGACTTAAAATATGATAATATCAGCCATAAGATCATAATTCGTCAATATTTCATCACATAAACTCATCGGCACCAATTACTGGGCAGTCGGCACAATTAGACTTTTGCCCTGATCCGTTTTCGCTCCTTCTGCATTGAATCACTGTTTGATTATTCTCTCATTTTTGTTATCTTTCTTCGCCGGTTATTGGTTTTTTCATAAAGGGTACGCTTCTTATTCATATTTGAGAAAGTGAAAATTTAAAACATTGTTAAAGGCATTTTTTATGTTTATGACTTACGCATTTCAAATCCGGCTGATATAACTAACGGATGCCGTTGCTAAGTAAAACATTTTTCACGAATAACACTTATAATGAACTAAAACTGCCAAAGTTTTTGAAAACTAGCAAATTACAGATGAAAAATAGCGTTTTGAGGTGCGTGCAAATTTTAAATTTCTGCGTAAGTCCCTTCAAATTGAAGTCTCGTCGGCATGTTGTCCAACACCCATCTAATTGATATGAATCGCTTACAATTCTGAAGAGGTGCAAAATTACGTAATTGATATATAAAATTTTACATACGGCTGTTTTTAGCTCTAAATCAAATAACGATTTTTTTTATGATTTGTCAAAATTCGATGCGAAAATAAAGATTCAGAGATGATCTTTTATTCATCACAGGATTTGTAAGTTTTAAAATATGTATCTAATGTTAAATATTTGTGACGGATCTTGAGGCAAACTGAAGTTTTGAAACTTCTATGAATTGATTTTGATGATAAAAAGTATAAATTATTTCAACACCCCTAAAACTTATTTGGCTGCCTAATATAACATATTGTTCACTCCCTCAAGAGGCGATAACAATGTAAAGTAATTTTTCGTAAAACTAATAATTTGGACAAATTGTTCAAATGATAAAATAAAGAGATTTAATATAAAAGCTCACTAATCGAACTAAAAAAAAATTATTCATCAAACAAATTTTGAGTAGCTGTTTGAGTCAACTACCCAGCCCTTTTAAGATAATTTATTGAGAACAGCTTAAAACGACTAACCTTTCTAAAAAATTCAAGATTTTCGCCTTCACGTCAATTATATCATCATCCGAGGCTTTGTCTTTATACGTTGTCCGCACAAACGATTGCGTATATTCTGCCAAAGGCGCCCACCGAAAGATCCTTGGTACATATGGCGCTTCGATGACTGCTTCTCTCATTCCACGACTAATTGGAGGCAGAGCTTGATATATTATATTCCTGGCGAACGTTTCATCTGTTCTAATTTTTTCCATTGCTGCTACCAGTTCCACTTTATTAACATGCGGTTTCAGTGCGTTTGGGCTGAGCCATTCCTCAATTTGTTTTGCACCCTTCTCTTTAAGAAGTTGAACGAAATTGGGATAGAGATCAAAGTCCAAATTCAGTTGAACGAAATTGGGATAGAGATCAATGTCAAAATTCAGTTTTTCGGTAATGTTACAGGAAATTTGTGAGCACATATGTTCTCGGCTTGTGCTTACGGCTCTTTGTTCCTTCTGGAATTCAATTTCTCTCTGTAAAAACAACTAAAGTTTGAAACCAAAACAGGTCATTGTACAGAATGAGACGCCAACATCAATAACCAACGGTGCACTTTTCTCACAGATGTGTTGGTTCTATGAACTGAGATGATAATTCGAAATTTTTGACCACTTTTTTTGATACAAAGCTTCGGTTTAGAATAATGTTATAACCAAGTATACCAAACCTGAAGCAACGCTATTTAGACTAAATTACATTTTCAATAAAAAAACATTGGCAGTAGTGCATAGGGGAAAATGCCAAAATGGCAGTAACAAAATTGCGTGCTTTGGAATGAAAAAATTTTAGACGCCCAATAACAAAATGAGGTATGATAACTTTCGCTGATACAATTTCATTTAACAATCTATCAAAATAAATCTTAAGAGCAGTCTCGTTCGAGGCATTTGAAAAGAAGGTCTACATGGAAAACAATTCAAACAAGGCTAATCGTATCAGGGCGAAATACGAACTTTCTGACTGCATTTTAAGGCTTGTGGAATAGTATTCGCAATGATGAAATTTTCAAAAAAAAAAATTCGAGCTCAGAGCAAAAGAAGGTTTGGATTTAACAAACAAAATTCGTCAAAAGTCAAAGTTTGTCTGAAGAAAACAATCCACCCCGAGTTTGAATATTTCGTCTTTTTCTTCAATAAGTTATAGAGCGCAATAAGTTATTAGGCTAAACATAATCCAAATTTTTTCGACGCTTTTGTCGAAAGCTGTGCACAATTACGAAAAAGAAAACTATAATTAGATTGCCGATTGCTGTCGGTTTAAATAGTGGAACTTGCAAAGATTAAGCAGTAATATCGCACGAAATTTTCATGACAAACAAATCGTATTCTTGTATTTTTTTTAAATATTTGTTTCTAAAATAAATTCCTCAGTCAAAAGTCACAGGGTTAGTAAATCACTTCTGTGTTATTCGAAGTGAGCTAGTGGGGGCAACTCAACTTCTTATAAGACTTGGTACTTTTTGCTATTTTACTCTCTTTAAGACTGATACGTCATTTTTGAGGTAAACAAAAAAACTAGCTTTATATGCAACATTAATTTTCATGTGCTGAAAGTATCAAAACCAACTTTTGTTAGTATTCTTTTTGAGTATCCAATATCTAGGAACTAATTAGGGCAATATATTTTGTTCTAAAACTGTGCATAACCTTGTGATTTTTCTACAATATTTTCCACTGCACTTGAATTCAACGTTTCAGCAATCCGCTAATCAATGAAACCTACAAAAAATGTCGGCAGCGCAATTTTTATATAGACTTACTTGAAAGTTAAAACTTATTGGAACAGATTTTGAGATATGTTCAATGTTTTTGATATTTCAATTCACTAATCGCAGTTTTCTCCCACAAAACGGTTATTTTTGTTTCTCAATATTGTTTTTTTTTGTCTATCTATAAGCAATTGTGTTTCTACGTGATCATTTTTGCGATAATCAACTCATAAACACAGTGCACTTTGTGTAATCAACTGCATCGGCAAAAACACAAAGGTCGAAGAACTTTGAAACAAAATGGACCAGCATATTTTTTTTAAATTTGATTGCCGAAAACTTGATTTGACTTCAATGCTTGCTATTTAAAAACCACAATTAAGTTGCACCTCCATTAAATTATGACGTTCGATTCCATCAGATTGTTGATTTCCAAACAAGTGTTAAATTATTTGGGCTTGATTCAATATTTCCGAAATCCTGGACGATTTCTATTGCATTCAGTTCTCTACCAGCGCACCCGAGATGGCTAGAATATGATTTTGGTCGATGTTTAAGAAAGGTTCGACTCTTACCAAACTTTTGAGAGTAGTTACTGGCTCTTTTTTGTCCCCCATTTGCTAATTTTTATTGTTCAAATTGTCAATTTATTATAAAATTTAGCATACGAGCTAATTAGGCAACGACAAACACATTTGGGCGTCTTGAGTTAGGTATGGAGGTCTAGCTCATAGAGTAATTTCGGATAGGGTACACCGTCTGCTCGTCACGCTATCTTATTTTCGGCCGGATAGATTCGTGCAACTTCTTAGTCTAATACCGATCCTAATCTTTCTCTTATTACTACTAGTCTCAGGGTGTTTAACTAATCTCTGCTAGGCTCAATAGATCTAGAGTATACTGGTATTGTTGCGGCTGCTGAAGTACTCGGAAAGAGTCAACTATTTTCTATGTTAAATTCAAATCTCTCTGGTGCTGAAATAACAAGTAATTTCAGCACTTACAAATAAGTGGGTAGTTAGTTAGATGGATTGTGATTGGTTAATATTAAATACTTTACAGTGATTAAATGTCTAAGTAATAAATAATAAAATGTAGTTTGGATTAGGTTCCACCCATCCGGGGTTTACAGAACTTTTTGAGTTTTATCTCTTTTCTTCTGCAATTGAAGGATGGATGATGAACGTTGGTATGTGGCGAACATCATTTTCTTTTTTTCTCGTTTTCTGGAGAAGAGAGGTCCTTGAATAGAACCAATGCCTTAAGGAAGGTCCAGGACGCTGAAGTTAGGGACATGAGGTTAATCTGATTAATCTTATAATCTTCTGATAATATTCCAGCCTGAATGATTGTTTTTAATCACTTAAGAAAACTGATCACTTTGTGGTGATATGAAAGACTTGAGTAATCTCTTGAAGAGGGAGGTTGGTGCATTGTTATTTCTAACCACAAAGTTTCTTAGTTTTAATATTCAGGACAATAAACAAGCAAGATTTCCGAAGGGAAGGAGCATAGTAGGATAATTTTAGCTTGTTGGTTGGCAGGACTGTCCTGCAAGCCAACATCTTTTAAATCTAAGAGAAAAAGTTTTAATCGGGACATAGACACTGGAAGTCAGAAAACATGTTTTATCTTAGGTTATATTCTCAATGTGCAGATTAATGAAAGAATTTGAAGGCTATAGTGATGTAGTATGATGCCATTTATGTTCTGCAGTGAGTTGATATGACGTGGATAAGAGTATTTTCGTGCATTTTGTAAATTCTGTTCGATGGCACTGTAACCATTTTATGAACATTGCGCGATTCAATGAGGACATTGACCGGACTGTCCGGGGAGTATGTGACATTCGACCAGAATGTCAAAATGCAGTCTCTGCAGAATTCGGAATTTTAGCAGCAAGCCTTCCGGATTGGTGGTTTTTGAGAATTAAGGACGTTATTGGAACGTTTAGCCAAACGGTGAAGGTCAAGATATTCCGTATTTTAAAATTTCAAATTTTCGAAGTGATGACGTAACATTTCTGAGAAATGCAAAAACGGCCATTTTAGCAGAAAACGAGTGAAAAAACAGAACAACTTTTATCTGCGATTGCGAACAGTACGAAAATCGAGACTAAAAAGCAACAACGAACTACAGAACAGCAGAGGACGTTCCGAGTTGCAACTATTGTGCTGTTACAATAGTTGCAAGGCCGTTGCGAACAACGGTGAAGGGTGAAAACCAGCCTTCCGAGTTATCGTGAACTTGAGATTAAGGAGCTTGATTCGGCGGATTCAAGAATCCGGAAGGGTCTCGGGACGGAGATTTTTATTAACTCTGATAAACTTTTAGCATCCCGTCATGTCCTGACTTGAATTTAATTAAGATCTTAATTCGTTTTGACAAGAATGAGGAGCTAGAAATAAGGGGGGAAAGGGTTGATCCATCTTCGATGGAGATGATGATTTTTATCTACTGAACAAAAACAATAGTAATATAATAAGTAGTAGCCCTGTTTTTAGGAGTGACCTCGTGGTCTGGGGATACTGAGACCCAGCCATGAGCTCACTATTTTGCATGTAATTCAGTTAATTTGAGCGTTCTGGTCGAAGCCGGAGAACAGTAACGTTTTTGTCGACCCGATGTTGGAAAAGACCACCGAAAAGTACTGGCTTGGTAGAGACGGTGAAAAACATGCAAAGCTCTGTTTAGACGCTAGCCAGTCGTCTTAAGACTTAGTTTTGTTATCCGTCGATATGTATCTTCCGGGCGAATGTTACATGTATGTTTTTATGGCGCTCCTGGGTGTTATTCTTTTTTAACATCATGACCGGCAGAACCGTTAACGAGCATTCCGCGCCGAGCGGATGCTCACATTAACGCCCTTAATAGGCCTAAACCGCCGGGGCGGAAGGGTAGTTCGGAACGCGGAAGCCTTCCGGATTACCGTGAATAGTTTTTTAACTTAGTTAAGACCGAAAATTCACGAACCAGGAAGGGTGGGGTGAATCGCGAACCCCTCGTCCCCTGAGTGGTTGGTGACCAAAAACACTTAAAGATATAAGTAAAACCAAACAAAAAGTAGTATAGTACCCAAGAAAAACAAAAAACATAAAAAATAACCGAAAAAACCAAAAAAAGTAAAAAAGTAAAAAATCAGTAGAAATCATCCCCCCAGACAAGATGTGATTCAACCCTCCGTTTGTTGTTGATAGATATATTGTTGTTACAGGCATTTATATCAGTCAGGATTGTTACGATCAATTTTGTGGCCCGTTTGTGAGGCTTGTACTGTAGGGTTATTTGAGCATTTAAGCACGTTAATGATAAATTGCGCTCAATCCGGAGGGGTCAGCTGATTTGCGCTCAATTCGGAAGGGTCTTGGGTGAAGACCGATCCGGCAAGCAGTACAGGGAACAACAGGAAGAGGCTCAACGACAACTACAATCGACTGTTGGGTATCGTTAACAAGTTTTGTATCCCTTTTGGTACAAAAAGTAGGATAGTAATCTGTGGGGGGCTCGACAGTGCTGCACTGTAGTGACCCTTCACCGAACTGCGAATATCCGAGTTAAGCACCTTAATTCGGAGAATAAACAAACCCGGAGGGGTATAGTATTCCTAATATTATTACTTATATAGCCTATATTAATAGTCTTATATCGATTTTCAGTCAAAAACAACAAAAACTGACCGGTTTTTAGGGTCAAAATTGCGATATTTTGATCCCCCCACAAGTCGCGATTTTTGAGATATCGATATTTTTTGAAACGGAAAAAAGC